AGGGCGGCCCGGTGCAGTTCTTCTCGGCCAGCGGCCGGGCGCTGGCATCGCACAGCGTCTCGTCCTCGGAGCAGCGGATGTCCCGTGTCACCACGCTCCGCTCTCCGCACCGGGCTGAGCACTGCCGGGAGGGGATGGGGGGGACACAGCGTCAGCAATGGGAATGGAGAGCTGCTTTCTGGGATTTTTTATACGTTTTTAACATGAAGCTCTAAAAACACACTGAAAATCACAGGTGAGTTTCTGTAAAGCAATCCATAAAAAAGCCTCTTCCCCAAAACCCCTCAACAGCTTCAGCAGTCAGGTTAAGGTGTGGGAGGGCTGGATCCTGCCCGGGTCCTGTGCAAGCTCTCTGCTGGGTGATGCCAGATGCCAGAGGGTGAAAACCCAGGGCACCAAAAATACTTGATGAGAGCTGAAAAGTTTTATCTATCGCTTAGAGACAGCGTGAGATCTCCCTCGCCTCCTCCCCAGGAACCGCCAGCTCCTTTCCTCCTCTTTGGAGAACGCTTTCCCCAAACCCCACAACTGAGATTTTTCAGGCTGTGGATAAATTTGGCACCGTGCAGCCCCGTGACATTATTTAGAACTGGATTTGAGTTACTACAGTCTCACATACGCACATTTGCTCCGTGCATAACGTAAAGCAGGGAAAAGTGTCAACTGCACAGCGCTCAGACGCCCCGCGCTGATATGTTAATCCTCAGATCCCTGAAATGTGCTTTTTTTTTTTTTGGTGCCTATTTCCCCAGCCAACTTGGCACCCTGCTTCAGAGGGGATCCAAACGAGATTAGCTTCGCTGCTGGCTAAGAACGAACTACTCCAGGACTGTCTCAAGCAATCTGTCCCTGACACATGCTGGAGGAGAACATGGATTTCTGTAAAATAAGCCACTCCGGTTTGCTACGCCAGTCAAAATAACGCGCCAGCACGTGCGCGGGGAGCTCCTCTCTACCCAGCTGGGAAAGTCAAAATATCCTCCAACACCAGGGAAAGCACCAGCCCCTCCATCGGCTCGAGGGAAACGACGCACCCCGGCTTGCAGAGGAAAGGAGATATTTAAATTAAGACCAAGAAGGATTTTGGGAGCCTCCCAGGAGGAAGACTCCGATCCCTAGTGGTGTAAACCATGGGACAGGTTCATGCCTGCCGGCTTGGCTCGGAGCTCAGCCTTGCTCTTGCTTAGAAGGGATCTGGGCTTGATTTGGGAGCAGGAACGTTTGTGTGCGGGCTCCAGGGCACAACACCCCGCTCCATCGCGGGGGGCTGGTGGTGGCACGCTGAGTGAAATCAGAGATGGATGCAGACCCAAAATCTCACTCTCCCCATGCCTGCCCGCTTCCAGAAAACATTAGAGAGGCAAGGCTGTTCCCAAGCAATGCAGGGGGCACAGTTACACCCCCCGTGCATTCTACACGGTGGCTGCGAGCCATGCTGGGTCCCCCTCCCTGCACCACGACCGTCAGTGTGGCACAAGCAGCCAGGGCTCTGGCTCTTAAATCACCGGAGCTCAGAGACCAGCCCCAGCTCCTGGAGGAAGCAGGACTGCTTTGGTCACTTCCACGGGTTTATGTTTGCAAGCGACATGCCAGACCACTGGCTGTGCCTGGAAATGATTTCAGGGCCACAAACCCTTTCCCAAGCAAACTGACAAGCTAAAAGAGGAGCAGCACTGCATCCCCCCAAACCATCTTCCAGCTGCTTTAGCGATCTGCTGAAGGCACAGCAAAGGAAGGGTTTGATTCTCCAGCTGGTGCAGAGAAATCAGAGGTGAGGACGGGAGGCTTATGTGAACATAATTCACATGCGAGCTGGGATCTCCTCCCTGGCACGTTGTACCATGGGTGAAGAGGCTGCCCAGCAGGGAGTGGGGGCAGGATTTCAGCCACGGGCTCCTGCCCCATCTCAGTGGGCAACGCCAGCACCTTGTGTGTGGTCAATGATGCCCTGAGTGACCGACAGTGGTGGCCTCCGCACCCAGGAGGGGACCCAAGACTTCACTTAGGGTTAAAAAAAAAATAAATTAGTGGTACGTGTTGGTCCACATGCAACAACTGCAGCCAGTGTCCTAAAAGGCAGAGTCTCTGATGGCCAGGGATGAGTTTCACTCAGAAGAGGAACGGAGAAGCACAGGCACGTGTGCTCGCCCCCAGCACTTCCCAGACCAGCAGTCCTGGGGGCTCACCTCGGACCACTCCGACATCTCCCACTGGGGCCCGCAGGCTGGGTTCTTGCAGACCTTGCGCTCGTCCGGCCGGGTGATGTCTGCGGACTCGCAGAGGTCGCTGTAGACGGAGCTGTCGAATCCCGGAGAGATCATCTTCCAGCAGCGGACGATGCGGAACTGGTAGCCCTCCCCGCAGGTGCGGGAGCACTCGCTCCAGCTGCTCGTCTCCCACCTGCGGAGGCAAGAGAGGCCGTCGCAGCAGGCACGGCTGGACTGGGGCCGGAGCATCCCACGGGAAAACCCTGCCTGCTCTTGGCTGGAGGGAGATGGCTGCAATAGGAACGAGCTGTAGTCAGGCTGACAGCGTGCGAGGTTTTCCCCTGGGATGGGATGTATGGACATATGGTGGTTTCACCCAGCAGATCTGAGCTCATGCCTGCAGCAGTGGATGTTAAAACCAGATTGCAGAGAGGAAGGAGGCACTGGCGCGGTGAGGCATGGACCGGTGCCCTTGCTGCCAGGCTTTTGTCGCCCACATGCTGCATGATCCCCAGCTATGACCCTGCATGTGCCAGCACATTTCTCTGCCTCTTTTTTGCCTGATCAGCTAAAGTACGGAGAGGACACAACCATCCCTCGCCCTGCAAATCCCAGCAATAATGTCTCACAAAGCTGTCTGAGCCCCAGTGGGACAGATATTCATGTACCACCGTCAGTCTAAGTCTGCTAATGTCATGCAATGGGCTGGAAGAGCTGGGATCTGCTCCGAGACACTGCCTGCCCCTTTCTGTCCCCTGCCACTACTGCCCCGACGTTACAACAGGGGAGCAGCTTGTAAACTGAGTGAAAAGACATTAAAAGTCAACAGTCTTACAGTACAGTAATAGCAATTCTGAATTAAAGAATAAGCTAAAAATGTAAAAATCTAAATTGATGGGAATTCACAGCCCCTCTGGACACGGAGCTGCCCCATGCAGCCCCTGGCACCACCTGCTGCTGCTCTCCAAGCAGGAGAGCCCTGTCCCCCGGCTGCACGTGGCCTCGCACTGTGCACAGGGCGCCAGGCACAACAAGCACCCGTAGGCAGATGTCACACATTTAGAAGTGCCACCTAAATTCAGAAGGGAGATGAAACCAAGGTCTTTCCCATCCAGATCAAGCAAAATCCTCTTCGCACTTTCTAAGTCGGAGAAGTGCTGCCAGCCCCACAGCATCCCGTCTGCCTTAGTGCTGCCAAACGGGCTCAGCTGCCCTGTCTGAGCTCCCAGCAGCTCCCTGGTTTACCCACCGCCGAGCTGCAATCACTGGTGAATCACAGAGCAGCTCTTCTCTCTCCCAGCACAAGCCCATAGAGCTGGAACAGCACAACTATAAGGAGGGGAGGCTTTATAAAAAGACCAGTGGGATAATGGAAGTGTGAAAAAAAAGGACTAGTGCCTGTGCTAAAGTTAATGCAAACAGAGATTAAAGTCTTCATGGTGCCTGCAGGGCAGGTGTGATCCCAGCAGTAGCACCATCCACCTCCCCACGCTTTTCTTGCCTCAATTGCAGCCTGCCCGGGCTTTCAGCCTTAACGTGCAAGGTTCGAGATCTTACACTGTGAAGGGCACGTGCTTTCCTTACAGCGCCAAGGGCACGTGCTTTCCTCCCCGTCCTCCAGCACCACTACCCAAGGCCAAAGCAAGCACTCTCCAGGGAGCAGTGCCCTACCTGGTCCCTGGCATCACTCTAGTCTTGCTGTGCACTGTTCCCAAGTGACGCCACTCCAGGCCATACCCCAGACAGCTTTACGTCTCCCTTTGCCCTGTCCATACCCTGACACCATCGCAGTCCTCCTCCCTTTGATAGACACCAGTCTGTCCTGCCCATAGCTGCTGTTACTGCAAACATTCCACCATGCCTGCCCTGTGTTACAGACCAGCAGCGGAGGTGCCCCGAGCCCCAGCTGGGCTCTGGACTGCAGTCACGCTTCTCGGGTAAAGAGTCACATCAGCAGAGAAACCTTCTGAAGGACTTCCAGCACAGGTTCCCCACTGCACCAGCTCTTGCCCTGATATAAGCAAACCTCAGTGATGTTTAGGATGCCCAAGGGACTAGAGGGACGGATCCACAGCACAGTTTGCAAGCCCGGTCCCTCCACCCAATTCAGGCACACGTTCCTCCACGCACTGGCCACAGCAGGATCCGGCCCATATTGTCAGAAGCTGGACTTGATGGGAGACGCAGGTGCAAACTCTGCCAGGATTTACAGAAGTTTTAACCTGACAGCTTGAGCTAAAGCACTCAGGAGGAAAGTCTTGCTGTGTCCCGGTGCAGCCCAGGCAGATACAACTGGGGGAGGAGGGACGGGGGTGCTACGGGCCATCCCTGCTGCCCCCACCACCAAATCCATGCCGCCCCCCTCCCCCCAAACATATCCATGGCAGAGAAAGCGCGGAGCACCCCGGGAGCGCCCTGTCGAGGCAGTACCTTGGCTGGCACTCTCTCCCAGCACAGAACTCATGGACGGGCTCAGGACGGGTCATGGCATCACAGTACGTATCATCCACTTCGATCCCATCATAGCGAACACACATCGCATATGTGGACATCACTCCTAGTTTCAAAGAGAATACATACACACAACAGAGGACGCTTGGTGATTTTGACATCCAAATTCTTTTTTTCTATTCTATTTTTTTTTTTTTTTTTTTTTTTTTTTTTTTTTGAGCTGCATTTTGCAAAACTTCCTCCCGATAGAAAGCAGCAAGGCCTACTTTCTGGCCCACGGGATGGATGCTGCCGGGAGGGGAGGACCACGGCGGCCACCTGGCCAGCGCTGCTGAGCTTGGCTGGCTCCAAAGGCGGGCACGGCCACCCATGCCAGGGCTTGCCACCAAGATCAATATACGACTAACACGTTTTTATAGAAAACGCTCAGGGCAACGAGTCTGCTCGGCAGCTCCCTCCGCCTCGCAGCCATCACCTCCCACCCTGCCAGGCTCGTGGGTGGAGGTGACAGAAAACGGTCCCCAACCCACTCCATCCACCCGCTCTATCTAGAAGCATCACACCCCTCCTTGTGCCCGGGTGCCCCCCAGGTGCACCCAGTGCTTGGGGCCAAAGACAGGCTCCTGGGGGCTTTGCAAGGAGGCACCTGCCCCTCCTGCTCCCTCGCTGAAAGCCCGGGCAGGCAGTGTTGTCAGACCGAGACCTTTTCCCCCGCAGCCTGCCATGCCAGAGCAAATGTTGTGAAGTCCTTTCTGGGACCTGGCTGGGGACCAGGAGGCTGCTCTGGCTACAGGTAACAATAATTGCAGCTCTTGGGAACATATGGTTTACATGAAACTAAAAAAAAAACCCAACGAAAAAAGATCTACAGCTCTTGACACGGTATTGCTTCTCTGCGATATGTCATTAAGAAAAGGCAATGAGAAAGGAGAAATTTAAGTAAAACCTCTCCCTGCTAGCTGGAAACCAGGGCAGAGCAATCTGGCTCAGTCAAAGGGGGAATTTGTTCAAAGGGGATCAAAGAAGTCAAAAATGTTGCGGAATATGTGGCTGATGGAGTCCGAGGGAAAGGGACAGCTCACAAAGCTCCCACTGTGAGCACGCGTCTGCTGGACAAGAACAAACGCTCTGGTGCACTTAAAAAAAATAATTCTTGCATTTGTTCTTTTAAGAGATGTCCCTTAGACTGCAGTCTGCTCTCTCCCCCTTTTTTCCTTCTTTCCAATTCCAGAAGCACTGCAGGATCTGGATTATCTCACGGAGCGGGGAGCGGTGCAGGCGAGCGCACGACCTGCACACACACTGCATCAGGGGCCAGGCCCCCGAAACAAGGAGTAAAGGAGGAGAGAGAGCAGGTAGCTCGAGGCTTTTTTGGGGGGCAAAAAGGAGGAATATATGCAAAAAGAATACAAGCCAGGTTTTGATATTCCTGGCATCTACGTCGCTGTTCCAGATTTACACCCTCACAGCCGAGATCAGGCTCTGGGGTAGGAGGAGTGGGAGAAAGAAAACAAAAATCAAAAAGCCAAATGCTATTTTGTTTCCTGCCAGAGCTGGACAATCTTCAAAATTTCACTCTGTGGGGAAGCAGCTGAGCTTTTCAAACCCCTCTGAATAGTCAAAAGGGGGAGGAAAGGCAAAATAAAAGGAGGCAATATGCTGAGACTCAGCAAGGTTCGGGGATCCTGCCGAGCCCCAGCACATCCCTGCTGGGCTGGGAAGCAAAGGTGATGTTCAGAGCTCCCCGAAGGGCCGGTGTTTTGCAGGATGACGGACACGCCGGGCACTAACCCTCGGCCCCCGAGGTCGGTGGGCTCTGCATGCTCGTGGCCCCCAGCTCCTCTCCCCGCCTTTGCACCCTGGCGGAGCAGATTCGGGGCTGTGCTAAACCAGCTCGAGAGATCACAAGATCCCCTACACGCATCACCAGGTCCTTCCCATCCCTAACAGACATAAAAGTGACTCACACACCAGGTGATTTCAGCGGTTGTGCAGAATTTGGCTGCTTCTTATAACTACCTGTGGTACATGTAGAGCTGCAGGGTTCATGGGAGGAAAGCTTCCACCTGTACATGTCAGCAGCACTCACACCTTGGCCCTTTCTTAACAACTTCAATCTGTTTCTAGCAATAAGCAAACAAAACAAAACAAACAAAACAAAACAAAAAAAAAGGCGTTTACAAGGCGAGCGGTGATAGGCCACGTCAGACACGCACACATCTGCCAGCACGCTGCAGTTTGGTTGGGTTTGGGTTTAGGGGGGGATTTGCTTTGTTTGGCGGTTGGGTTTGTTTTTTCTGATTTTTTTATATATATATTTTTTTAGGGGGGGTTTGTTTGTTTGTTTGTTTTAATCGGTTTGGTTTGTTTCACAACATACCTGTCCTGAGCCCCAAGTAGAATCCCCAGCCCGGTTAGAGGCAGAGCTTCCACTGTCTAGAAATAGAGAGAATGGGATAAAAATACCCACAAGTAGAAACAGTTCAGAATTTAACAAAGTTTGCATTTTCTGCTCAAATACACCTGGCCCTCGGCATACAGCGACTAAAGGTGCAGTATCTCCTCCCCTGCCTCTCCAGGGCCGGGCACGCCGACTCGTGCTGCTCAACACGGCAGAGCTTTCAGCTGCTCAAATCTCAGCAGCTCACTCCTTCCGAAAGCCTGCACGTGGCACGGGAGTTTCTAAGCTTGCTTCTCAAAGCACGCTTTGCTTTTAAACACCGAGGCATGCCATTCGCCTACCCGCTGCTTTTGCCACTCTTGTTTTGCCTTATTTTGTTTCGGTTTAGATATAGGTAATTTGCATCTCTCATATCCACGCTGTGCTCAGACACGTAATGCCGTTGGGAAAGGAGGAACGGAGTCAGCCTGGTGTACAAAAAAGCATTTGTCAAACCAAGGATAACAGCTTCTCCCAGTTCAGTGCATCCTACGTGCTGCGAGGTTGTAACACATCAGGGATACTGCACCTTTGCAACAAAAGGCTTTAATTCTGTTCTCATACCTTTGTTCAAACCCTTGAAACAGCTACACTGAAATAGCGTACAAGGTTGTACCCTGACATCCACTTGTCTCTGGCCTGGCGAGATATGCAGCTTGTATGATTTCTAGGCAGCAGAAGCTCTGAAATTGCCTTATTTAGTTGTTCATAAGAAAAAGTTCAGGTCCAGTCTATCAAATCAACCTTTAAAATGACACTGTTGAGAATCCAGCCGTTTCCTTTCAGACCCACCCTCCTTCCACCGCCAGCACTGAGCCTCCAGAAGGATTAAAAACAACAACAATCTCATTTTCCCTGTTGATTTTGCCTCTGTCAGTTTGGCAAATGGTCGCTTCCTGCGTTTGAAATGGAACTGAAATGAATGTGACTATTTTTCGCAGAAAAATAACAACTTCAGCTCACTATAAATAGTGCTTTAACTTGCCAAAACAGCTCTGCCTGGGGACCCGCATCAGCCCGTGATCCCGGCTCAGCCCCGGCTGCCATCAGCGTGCTGCCTGCTGCCACCCAGCAAGGAGAGGGCTCACAAGATGACAGTTTTCAGTAAGATCCATTAAAATACACTCAATGTCTGCTTTTTGTACTTTAATTTGCCTGGAAAGAGGAGTATTACCTAGATCGTCTGGTCGATACCCTGCTCTCAGAGGCACCAAAGTAAACACCAAGTTATTCTGTGACTGGGACTCCCCTCCCTTCAAAGGAGAAAATCATCTTCGAAATAAACTTTATACCACATCTGAGGACAGAAAATCCTTCAACAGTGTCCCCTTAATGTATGTGATCCTAAATAGCGAGCTGCTTCTATGCGTAACAAGGTCGCAGGGACAAGTTCTTTCCAGATAAATCGGACATTTGGTCACAGGGCAGTGTTCAGCTCTTGCCATTTCAAGCAAAGACAAAACTGTCATTTTGCTCTGCTCTAAATGCACACAGCAGAACATTGTCCCACAAAGCTACTGGGCTTTTCTCTGTTCTTTTATTTTTCCTCTTTATCATGAGCTTTATTATAAAAGTCAAGTATTTTGTTCCCTGGCTGCACTTTGCTTCTGCATTTCAAGCAATAGCACCAAGTATTAGCACCAGTCCCTCACCCCCAGCTGAGGTCTGGACTGCCCATCTCCTTGAAACAGTCCCCACAGCAGAAGAATAATCCTAACAAGTGCACACAAACAGCACAGACCATCATCCAGAGTCCCTGGGCTCACATTACTGTGTTTTATTTCAGTTTTTATTGTTGAGCAAAGCGGGAAACTCATGGCTCCTGTTGCAGGATCAGCCCTGGCTGCACGCCGCAGCACGGGCATGGGGCGAAGGACGAAGGGTGCCTGGATGTGCCCTGGCACACCATGGAAAGACTAACTGCTCCAGGAGAGGAAAAGCAGTGCTGCATCCATACCATGGCACAAGAGCCACCCACCCATTCCCATGCCAGAGGGGCTTGCTCCCAGAGTGGAAATATATTTCCACACCATGCTGGTGCAAGGTGCTCCTACAACTGAGTAACTCCATCCACACTAAGAACTACAACAGTTTAGAAAGAAGTCAAATGCCCCATCTCTGACCAGCGCTGTCCCGCGTGCACAGACAGCTGGTTACAGCCTGCAGAGATGACCTTCCCTTGCTTGTTCATCGACAGGGAATGGAAATGAGCAAAAAGCCACCATCCATCCCAAACTGAGCCTAGGAAGGATTTGGGAGGTCTCACGTCCAAGCTCCTGCCCAGAATTAGGCTGACCCTATAAAAGCCTGAGTCCCACAGGGCCTTGCACAGTCCAGTTTTACCCATCTCCAAGGATGGAGGTCCCAACCCTGCCCCATGCCCAGGGCAAGAGGTTTCCCCTTGTACCCCATTGCCATTTCCGTCAGTGCAGCTCCTGGCTGTCCCCTCCACCTCCCTTCCTCCTGGAGGAACAAGTCCAATCCCCAATGCTCATGCTCCAGGACCCTGTCTGTGACACACCAAACCCAAAACCACATCCTGCTGTCAGGATGGGCTTTTTCCTGCTGTGCCAGGTGCCAGCAGGCGCTCCAACCCTGGCCTCAGTGAGCAGAGCATCCATCATTCCCACCCAGGAGATACAGATCAGTGGTTAGCGGTACAATTGCACTGGGCTTAAAGTAATAAATAAAAAATTAGGGGAAGCAATAAAGGCCTGGGCACAAGCAGGCGGTCCCGACACAATCCCTTCTGTCCCATTCCCTGGAAGTGAGGGTTGCCCATCCTTGCGGTGGTGGCAGAACAGCCAGATCCCAAGCCTGCAAACACACCTGTCTCTCCCTCCTCCACGAGTGCCCACATGTGTGGATGCTCTAATCATCAATGACATTATGGGGTGGAGAACCATGCCTCCTTGCAGTGGGTGAAGCCTCTAGAAAGGAGGTGCAGGTCGTTTGTCACCTTCTTCTCCCCTATTTTTTTATATTGTTATTTATTTTTGTTTTAAATAAGAAGAGCATGTTTGCTGCATTACAGCTGCCCCACATCTGCCTCCACTGGCCTTTCAGCCAGCCCCCAGCCCCTGAGCCCAGCCTGCCAGAGCCAGGGAGGGGCTGAGCATCTCAGCCCAGACTACAGCCCCAGCTGGGCCTGGATGCAGCCGGCTGGCTAGTGCAAAACTTGAACTAAACACCTTTTTTTTCTGGATATTAATGTCTGAAAAGTTCATATTTTATTCTAGAGTAGGGGGAATAAAAAGGAACTCTGCAGAACAACCAAGGGAAGAATGAGGGGGGAAAAAAATGGCAGTGCTGAGCGTCCTTCCTGGAGGGGTTTAAATCCCTGCCCCATGTTTTTCACAGAGAGGCAGCCAGGGATAGTGCAAGGAGCTTTTTAGCACTCCAAAAAACTGCACTGGAGCCACTGACAGTCTTTTGTGATTATCCTGTAACAGTCAAGCTGTTCTGAAGTTTAAAGCATGTATTCCCAGGAGGTAGGAAAGGATTAGACCCCATTAACCCTTCCTGGAGGGGTTTAAATCCCTGCCCCATGTTTTTCACAGAGAGGCAGCCAGGGATAGTGCAAGGAGCTTTTTAGCACTCCAAAAAACTGCACTGGAGCCACTGACAGTCTTTTGTGATTATCCTGTAACAGTCAAGCTGTTCTGAAGTTTAAAGCATGTATTCCCAGGAGGTAGGAAAGGATTAGACCCCATTAACAGCTACTGGGAGAGAGGTGTGGGTACAGGGTGCCCGCCAAGGCCACCCAGGGAGGTGGTGGGGACCAGGCGAGCCCCAGGGGAGGGCAGCCCCCTTCCTCAACCCCCAACACGGTAAGGCAGGGGAGCTGACGGCAGTGCCTTCGCCTGTCAGAGTGCTAACAAAATGCTTTGGCAGCTGACAGCAAAGCTTCCATGCCAAGCCACGAGGAGAGATGACAGACAAGCCCTTGGCAATGCTTTAATGTTCTTATCATTAAGAAGTTGGTTGATGCATTTGGCTGCACGGACATTTTCTTTAGCATAAGTTGCTTTAGCATAAGCTAGTCTAAGTTCTGGGTAAATAGCAGCTAACTGTAACCAGAGAGCATCTGCTCAGGGCTTTACATCTTCTGAAGCTCAGCATCATAACCCATGTTTTACTGGTGGCGAAGACTGGGAGACAGAAGAGTCAAGGCAGCAGAGCCAGGAGACCCACGGGGAGGCTTGGGTGCCCCGGGCCCTGAACAAGCTGCGAGGGTACACAGTGGAACCCAAATCCACAGCTGTGTGTCTGGGACCTGGATGACTCCCAAGGCCCTGACTTCAGCCCCAGCTATCCATGGATTGCTTTAATTTGTGGCTGCTCTCCAGAGAGCCCCAGGACACCCCAAAAGACCCCAGACACAGATTCATGGACAAGCACTAGCCTGAGACTCCCTTTCACTCAGCCCATCCCTGCCTGGATGAACCTGCTGCTAAAGCTAGATTAAGCCTTTTTTTACCTTCCCACTCCATTTTGTAACGCTGCCACTCCAAACCAGCCATTCAAGGAATTCTGAAATGACAGCCCTAACATCAATCGATGAACTGCCTCTGGAGAGCTTTTGATGTTCTTGTCAAAGCAGTGACTAACTGCACTGCTTCTGCATCCATCGAGGTAGCAAACCCAGGCTATTTCTGCAGCCCCTACAGAAGAGCTCCCCTCATCCTGCCCTGCCTCTCCAGCACTGGTTAAGAAGGCAGGGCCATGCCTGGGAGCTGCTGGAAGCATATTCCTGCCAACACAAGTGAGGAGGATCTTGGGTGGCCATCAACAGGGTGGGTAAAAAGGGGCCAGGACCAACTTCTGCTGCATCAGAACTCAGAGGAATGGGCCTGAGGAGTCAGAGCAGAGCATCAAGAGAAGACAAAAGGAAGAGGCTTCTTTATGGCCACGGCTCTGATAACAAGCTATGGCAGGCAGAGAGCAATGTGCAAGTTGACAGCCATCAGCATAGACTTGCCAACATCCCCACTAAGGAGGGCAGTGAGTTTTCCTCTTGCTTAAATGCTCTCTTGACTTTCTGCTCCCAAACCTCTGGCTCTTCCTTCCAAATTAACCCCCAACAGAAAGCTTTCACATACAACATCCTACCCCCACTTACCTTCTGACTTCCAAAGCAGACAGAAACCATGCAATGGAGTCTGCATTGAGTACAGGGCTATTGAGTTGAAAATAGCAACAAACAGGATTGACTATAGCTAAAGACATGTCTCCTACCTTGCTTTGTGGGTTCTGTTCCCCTGAGGGCTGATCATGGTGACGGTAGCATTTGAAAATGGCGTCTCTGCAGACGTGTTGATGGCTTTGCTGTTGCTCAGCTCCATGTAGGTGCTATTAATGGTGTAGGTCACAACACCATCAGTGTCCTCGTAGTCAACATAGAGGCTGTCAATGTGTGACCCCACAGAGTTGATTGGGTCTCCCTGGGCAAAGATGCTGTTCATGGTCATGTTGAGCACCAGCTCCTTGGAGTCTGAGGTCTTGTCCAGCAGCTTGTCTGTGATGGCATTCTCCGAAAGGAATTCCCTGGAGGTGAACCTGGGGTCGAAGTCTCTGTCGTCATGGTCTGTCTGGTAAGTAGACCTGGTTACGTTTGAATCTAGATTGGAGCCAACAGGGGGAAACAACAGTGACAACCACAAAATGCATTCAGGCTGGGAGGCGAAAGCAGCCCAGAGCAGCGGAGGCACGCCAGAGCCTGAGCAGCCACCCGGGAGGCTAGAGGCAGGAGTTGGGGTCGTGGGGAGAGGGAATCTCATGGGGTTGTACACCTTTGGAAAG